ATAGAGACAGTGCAAGAAAGCTCAGATCTGACATATAGACGACTGATAAGAGTATGATGTAGAAATCATTCCAAAAAACTACATGACCACAGGAAAAGAAAATTCAGCAGTGATTACCTAGTCCACTCCCTCAAAGTGAAGGCAACTTACTAAATATGCTTAGCCTTGGCTAGACTGAGCTTCAACTAATATTCCTAAATTCAGTTCTTCATTATGGCCAGGGACTATATACATACCACCAAGCTAGGGTCAGATGAGAAACAAGCAGGCATTATATTTACTTCAGATGACAGAATTAATCTGTAGCTTCAGGTAAAAGCAGTCTGATTTATTAGCCACACACTAGCCAAACATTCCTGCTGGACAGTCGTTTATGAACATATGCATGAATACAGACATAAGGCAATTAACCTTAAGTATACTTATCTGATACTATGAAACAGAAGCATCCCCTTGAAATCAGGCTCTCATTTGAGTAATTTAGGTCTCATTAAGCATGGGTGAAGTCTGAGTTTCTATTACAATCCCAGCAACGCTTCCCTTCAGAGAATTCCACAAGAAAATTTACAAGATTATGAGTCAAATTTAGGTCACTCAAATGTTAAAATACAGTCCATGCACTGTACATTTAAAAATCTGGTTTCTTAGACAAAGAGTCACAGCTTGCTAGGAAAGCATTGTCAATTGTTAAAAAGAGATGCAGGACTCTTTTCAAGACCTCCCCACCCTATACAAAAGGAGTATGTCAACATACAAACTACCTAACTCCATGTAAAGAAAAGGGTCATAAACTTTACTGTGAGCTAAGCTGCTATGATCATTGTTTTCCCTAAGAAGTATGCAAACCATGTGCTTGGTTAGTTTGCTTGCAAAAGAAAAGAAAAAGAATGTTTCAGGCCGGGAAATGAGTGGTTGTACCCTGTGCAAGTAAATTGAACTCTGATTAGATAAAAGGGGGACCTGCAAGAAAATGCTCTAGCATGGGCTGCCCCATGCAGGACACCAACCAGTCAGACTCTTTCAGGATAGTCCATTCCAACATACCCTTCCCCAGTTCTCCAGTTTTCCCTCCCCAACATTCAGTTAAGTATTCTCTGTCTACTGAACATTATCACCCACCCAGTGGTAAAGGCCACATGAGCACGGAGACTGTCTGCAGACAAACGCTGGCTCCCTCAGCTAGGAAATGGAGATGAGCACCGCCCCCTAGAGTCAGGCATGGCTGGACATAACGTCAAGGGGAAACGTTCACCTTTACCTTTTCAATGGTAAAGGTTTTTTTTTTTTTTAATTCTCTCAAGATTTTCTGTACCTATCAAACATGAGTTCTCTAAAGCCCACTGTTACCTCCCTTGTAAATGGATGGTGTCATGTTACCTCCATAAGGATAATTCTTGAAGAACAAGTTCAGTGTTAGAGATCTGATGGCTGGATGGGATAGGATATAGTAACATTTCTCAGAATCATCCTTGTGTCATCTGCGTAGTTCAATCCCTCGATCAATCAAGAGCTACAGCATCCTGAACAGATGGTTTGTCAGCATTTGCTTCAAGTCCTCCGCCAAAGGAAAGCCCATTGACCCTTCAAGGTAAGCATATTGCTAAACTGCTTTTATCATCAAGCCTAATGGTGAAGTAAAATCTACCCTTTAAAAAGTCCTTTTCTGTGTGATAGCCTTCAGTTATTTCAAAAGTGCATTCATGTCCCCCATCTTAGTCTCCTCTTCCAGACTGAACACACACAGTTCCTCCAATCTTTCCTTATACAACCTATTTCTGATACTACTGACTATCATAATTGCCCTCCTCTGAATCCACACCAAATTTCTACAACCTTCTTCAAACAAAAAGAATTCCAACCAGCACAGAATAACGTATAACTATTACTTCCTGTGACAGGGAAAATTTCTACTGGTGCAGCCTAACATCATGTTAGTCTTTTTTGAAGTTGCATTATATTGCCAAATGATGATCAGCTTCAATTTGTGATCAATTACAATCCCAAGGCTCTTTCCAAATATACTGCTATCAACCCAGATTTTCCTCATCCTATAATAGTCATTCCTTTATTTTTGTCTAAATGCAGAACTTTGTGTTTATCTCTGCTGGTTTTCTTGTTATTAGTTTCAAACAATTTTCATTTTCTCAAAGTTTCTTTTAATTTTATTTCAATCTTTCTAGGTGTTAGCTCCCCCTCTCAATTTCATATCTTAAGTATATCTGACATGCATTCCATGTCCTTTATCTAAGTTACTGATAAGAATGTTGAATAGCTCTAGACTCTAATTTTTATTTAATTTGATGAGAATCACCGATAAACACTTTGAGTACAATTTTCCATCCAACAATATTATAATGTAGCCAACTTTTAACCACATTACTAAATGAAGTATCATTCATTGCTGAAATCAAGTAAAAATACATCAATAGCATCCCCATAAACCACTACGCTAGTAAACTAGTAAAGTTAGCCTGGCAGAATTTAGTCTTGAAAATTCCATGCTGGACTTGTTAATTACTGTATTGCTACTCTGAAATTTTACTTCAAAGTTTCATTATGCATGATTTGCATTTGAAGGAGGATTAAACCATTCAATTGACTGATTTTGGGGGGCTCACTGTGTCTTACCATAAACTTGGGCAACAACCATTTGAGCATACAACAAATATAGTACTAATCCTATTGTGCAAAGTGTTCAGGGTTTGAGGAATTGTAAGTATAAAGGATAGCAATTTGAATTTCAGGGAGCTTTTCAAAGATTTAACCTAAGCTCTTTTTATTCTTTTATTTACCAATTAAATTAAGAATACAGCAACAAGGGTTAATTCACACTACAAATAATGCAAGAAAGTCAAGCTATGGTCTAAAGGAGGTTGCTAAAAGCAGCAAATAAAACACAGTTGAAAAAGAGAACGTTGGGAGATGTGGGCTTTACTTGAAAATGATTGTGGGAGGGGGGAAAGCTAGGCTAACCAAAATTACAAATGAAAAACTAAACACAACTAAAAAAAACCCCATCACAACTAAAAGAATTAAGAAAAAGTGAAATATTGCAATGAAAGGCTTTCACAAAGAAGAATAGATAAGAGGAAATGTCATTTAAGGTTATCAACTGTCCCATATCAACATTAATTTGCAAATTTATTTGTTGTAGCTTCCTCACTAGAAAGTATGCCAAGGTTGTTTCAATAAAGTATTCCTTAAAAAAAAAATGCCTGGAAAAGATTATCCTAAGCACTATTAGATGCCCTAGAAAATACAAGCCATAGGGACAAAATGCCCCATTTCCTCTATTCTTTGAAATTCATCTATCTGACCTGTGTATTGCACATCATTTATTGAAATAGCTATTATGTCTGTTTAATGAGCAAATGACATCCTTTTAAATAAACGATATGATCCTCTATTGTAGATAACTGGATCAATCTTTCAGATTTGGATCTGACTAAACGATGCATCATGTTCTGAAGTAAAGCCATTCTATCCCAAGGTCTATATAAGTGATCTGCCAACAGCAAAAATACTATTTCACTATCCTCTTAAATGACGGTCAACATTAGTCTTCCAGCTTACAATCTTAAAAGCACTTACTAGGGAGTAAGCCTGACTGAACACAGCTAAGTTCCAAGTAACACATATAGGATTACACTGTTCAGAAAGGAGTGCAAGTTTCAATACTTTGAGACCCCTGCCTGTCCCCTGAAAGTGTCTTGTAGTATAACTGAGTGACAATCTTTCATTACATGTGAAAAATGCAAGCACTAGACTACCCCCCCATATGATATAGAGATTTAAAGATTGAGAACTTGAGAAGTAGCAGCTATACTCAACTGCTATTAATTCAGTTCAACCTTTCCAACTGATAAAACAGAATTGGCTCTCAAATAGCCAATAGCATTACCCTTTATTCTTGGAATGTTACCAAATTTAAAGTGACAAAGAATAAACAGAAGTTTACTACACATGGAAAAAGAAACTACACTGAGTGTTGAAAGTTTGTGTAAAACTGCAGCTTTGTCTGTCTCATGGTAAGAAAACAGTGTCTCACTTTCCCTTTTACCAAAACAGTGTTCTCTTGTTTTGGGAGAACAATCTTAAAATAGAAGAAGAGAACCAGGTTACAAGTTATAAATGTAAAATCCTAGTATATGATACATATTAAGAGACAATAAACATTTGAAAGGACTGAAGTATTTCCATTAAAATGTATACAAGAACTTCAGTACAGGTGCCTGCAAGAACATTGCTTGGGAGACATGCTTCCTTATTAGCATATCTTGAAACAATGGTGATAATAATCTTGTCTCGGTAATCCATGCCAAATAAATCCTTTGGACTCTAGAACTGCACAGAGGAAACTCCTTTCAAGAATGAACCTGCCTTTTGCTTATATTTCTTATCGTATACTACAAGCATATTGCTCTTCCAAATGGTTCAGTTATACATTTTATTCCTGGTTCTTTAGCAGTGCAATAAACTGAAGAAATCCTCCCACTGTTATAGACCTGGAAATCTGCTTCATTCCTTATTTGTCATTTGAGATCGGGTTATCAGATGCTACTTGCATTACTCCTGTAGAGCTGACATATCTATTTACAGACACAAAAAGGCAACCTACAACTTACAAACCTTGCCTCCCCTTACGATTTTTTTCCAAGAAAACCCTTCAATGCATAAGAAACACCTTTATACTCACCTTATAAATTATTCCTTTGGGGTGTCAAATTTTCTTTACCCGTATACAACATTCTCAAGCCAACCCCTTTACTTTTACAAGTACATTAAGTTGCTTCTAAAGTTTTAGGAAGCAGCATTATTTTGAAGACTAGGTTTAAATATACGGGGTCACTTCCAATATTTCAGTTTGCAATTAAAATGGAGGCAAGGCCAGGCGATCTGTGCCTGGCTTTAGGGGGAGACAATAACCCAAAACAGGCCTGGCTTTAAAGAGACAGAAAGAGAAAGCAAGAGGAGAAATATACATGTTCCACCAGTATTACCTCATCCCTTTCTTTCAAGCAGTTTTGAGCCACTCTCTTTTGACAAACTCTTGATCCAACTTCCACAGATGCTTATTTTTAAAGGCTTAAAAAAAAAAAAAATCTCAGATCAGAATGGAAAGGCTTGTTATTTGGTGAAGTGGAGCTGCTGTTCAAATGCCCCCTTGTCTCCTCTCCACTCCCTTGAGCTGCGTGTTGACGCAGCAGAAATTACCAGCTGGAAAATTCCCCTTTCGGAGGTTAGAGGGAGGGGTGGGGGTGAGAAGGGGAGGAGAGAGGGGAGCAGCAGGAGGGGGTTAAACCCTGCCAGTCAGTCGCTGTGCTGTCCCCATCTATCCACCCACCTAGTCCCAAATAAGGCATCCTGTCCTGGGGTGAAGCAAGATCAGAGAAGCCACATGCCCTTTCCACGCAGAGGGGGGCAATCTCGCCCCCACCCTCCCGCTGGATTTCGCCCAGCTGCCTTGCAGGATCGCGGAGGGCAGCAGGCACGGCGTGCTTGCCCGTGCGCGCGTCGATGTGCGCGCACGGCCCGGGCTCCTAGCCCCGCGCAGCTCATTGGGCAGGGGAGGCGGACGCCGGGCGCGAGCTGCAACCCATTCGCGGAGCCGCGGGGAGGGCGCAAGCACCCTTCCTCCCCGGCGGGCGCGGGCGCGGGAGCGGGGGGGGGGGGGCGCGCCGAGGCGAGCACGTGCATCTCCAGCGAAGCGCTCGCGGGCGCGAGGGGCGCTCCTGCCCCGGCCGGGCGGGATTGCCTCCCCCCGCCTCCGCAGTACTGCCGCGATCCGCACGCCCCAAAAGGAAGAGGGCGAAGGGGCTGAGCGGGCTGCAGGGGGCGAGCGCCCGGCCCCACTCACGGGGGGGGCTGAGTTAGCAGGTCCATTCTAAAGCCCCCCCACTGCCCAGGGGCAGCAGGGGGAGGGTCACCTGGGCTTGGTGGGGGGACCAGTTCTGCCAGCGCCGAGGGGGCGCAAACGTCGCGGCCCCTCAGGGGCAGCCAGCCCGCGCATGGGGCAGGCCGGTGGGCGCCTGGGGGCAGCCCCGCCGCCCCCCGCCTCTTACCTGCGCGTCATGAGGGAGCCGCGCGGGTCTGGGGCGGCCGGCGCGCGCGCTCCTCTCGGTCCCTCCGTCTCTCTCTCTCTCTTCACGAGTTGGGGGGCGGAAAAAGAGAGAGGGGCAAGAGAGGGGGGAGCCGGAGCGCGTTCCCGCCTCCCCTCTCCCCCCAGGGAAGGAGGGGGCGGGCGCGCGCGCGCTCCCCGGCTCCCTCGCACAACTTGGCCAAAGAGACGGGGGAGGGGCCATGCTCGGGCTCGGCCGCACGAGCCGGCGAGGCGGAGGGGGGAGGGGGGGAGGGCGGAGCCAGGCGAGGCGCGTGCGAAGAAGGGGCGGGGACGAGGGCCATCTGCTCGCGGGTTGGGTAGCGCCGGACACCGGCCTCCCTAAACCACGCCCCGCAGGGCTTTTTCCCCTCCTCCTCCTCCTCCTCCTGGCTCTCGCGGACCGGCCTCCTCCCCTCGCGCCAGCGGGGAATGGGAGAGCGCGCGAAGTGGAAGCGCGACCAACTGTCAAACTGCTGGACACAGCCGCGGGAGGGGGGGCGGAGGGGGCGCTGAGCATCATGGGAGAAAGCAACCCTGACAGGATTGTTGCCAAGGGCAAGCTGTGGCTGCGGTCGCCCTGGCAACGGTCAGGGCCTCCCCTTGGCGCCCGCGCGTCCCTCCGTGCCCTCCGACGTGACGCCCAGGAATCATCTCGGGGGCGGTCGCGGACCGGGGAGCGGGGCGCGAGTTCCGTGCACGCGCCTCGCCTCGCCTCGCCTCGGAAAAGGCGGAAAGCCGCTCCAGAGGTTAAACTCAAATTAAAGGACGGTTCAGACGCCCGGAGCCGGCCGCAGAAGGAAATGCGCGCGGGGCGGGGGAGAGGAAGCCACAAAGGCAGAGTCCGCGGGCGCCGTGAAGAGGAGCACATGCACGGGGGCCGGAATCTGGACCCAGTATGCGGCTGTTCACGCAAAATGCTGCAAGCCAGCAGAGTTGCACGATGATTAGTGACCCCGAAAAGGTGCTTGAGGGAGGGGGGGGGAGAGAGAGGACTGGCCCAGTAGCCACAGTAAAAAGAGCATCCTCACACCCTGTGTTTCTGATGTGTCTAGTTTTAACTCCGAATCAAATCTTCTGGCTCTGGTTTTAAAGACGGGAAAGAAAAACACCAGAAATCATGAAACTTCGGCATCGTTCAAAGCTTTCAAGTAACTTGGACACATAACATTCCACATACTTGTCGTTAAAGAAGGTAATTTTAGTTAAGGTTCCCAAGAAACCCTGCAGGCTATAGTGTTTTACAGATAAATGTGATCAATAAATAAGAACCCATGAAGGTAAGAAAAACTATGCTGGATCACACCAAAGGTCTGACTGGTTAAGTATTTTGGACACATGATGGCAAACCATTTGCCCACAGGATAATTAATGGTTCATATTAGCCACTGGGAAATTCAAAATGAAGATATTCACAAGAGTCAAGTGTAGGTCTGTCAGTTTCCCTCTCCTTACCCAGAGGACTAGCAACCCAAAAGCTAGCTTCAAAAAGATACCTTTCTCTGCAAGGTAGGGAACTTGCAGGTGAGAACTTCTGTTTTGAGGCAGGTTTAAAAAACACAGCTTCAAAGCAGTATTACACTGCATTTATATGTCGCCTTTTCCCCCTCTTGTGAGGAAACCAAGGTAGCTGACAAAGCTCCATTTTATCCTCACAACAACAACCCTGTGAGGTAGGTTGGGCTGAGAGTTTATGAATTGTCCAAAGTCACCCAGTGAGCATCACAGTTGAGTGGGAACTCTAATCTGGATCTCCCAGGTCCCCATCCCAACTCTAACCACCACACCACACTAGCTCTTTAAGAATATGGAAATAATCTATTGCTTGCCAAATTAAATAGCTACAAATAGCCCCACCACAAATCCTAATTTCATTTTGCTATCAATTCAAATTTTAGTTCATATGGGCAAATTGCACCAAAATACTATAGAAAAGAAGCATATAAGCCAAATCTATATTCTCAAGATTGCTCCATATTCTGAGATAACTGAAGGCCCTAATTATAGAAAAATGTCAAGTTGTGGATGAAAAAGCGCTTTTAAGGCAGAATCTTACATATGTTTAGAAAGAAAAAGGCCTGCAGCTTCCAGTATGCTGGGAGCTGTAGGACTTTTTATGTTTGAACATGCATAGGATGGTGCCCTTACAGTATAATCCTATACACAAGTCCTGTTGAGCTCAAGGGTGCACCCAGGGAAGTGGGTGTAGGATTGCAGTCTCAATAAATGGCAATACAGCCCACCAGAATACTGAGCAAATATATGCTATGTTAGATAGGGTAAGCATATGCTCTAATTTGCAGGGCTTGTGCACTGGAATTTTACCTCCATTCCTCACTTCCCTGGCTGCGACCCTAATCTGTCCTGTAGTGGTTTCGGTGTTAGACTTGGAGAAGAGAAACCTGAGTCCAATCTATGCTCATCTGCAAAGCTCACCGGGTGACTTGGTATCAGTCTCACTGGGCTTGACCTGTCTCAAAAGAATAACGGGAATATAGGAAGAACTGTGTTATTTATTTATTCCACATTTTGTCAGGTTGCCTTCAGAGGAGGCATCATTGCCATGTCTCCCAAACCATCTCAGCCTGTTTTGGTGCTCTAAGAAAGGTGGTATTTTGACCCCCCACACGCTGCTGTGTCTTCTGCATCCTCCTCCTCCTCACCTTCCTTCTCCTCTCCAGTTCCCACTGTTGCCTTCACTGCCATCACTTTCCACACACCTCCTTTCTCCCCACCTTCCTCCTGGCAGCACTGCCTCCTCTTGACCCTCTCAAGCTTAGTACAAGAGCTCCTTCCCTGACAAGTTAATTCCTTTTAGATTTGCCAAATTCCAAAGCTTCATTTACCACTCCCTAATTCTTGGAATTTGATTAGATTTCCAGTGCTTTACATTTACTACTCTAGCAGTGACAATCAGATAATAAACAAGTATTTCCTTGTACATATTTATCAGTCCTTTAATGTGTTTGCACTGGATCCGCAGAGCCAGACCTTATTCAGGGCATTTGGAGGAAACGATCCAAGGACAGTAACTTTAGGAGAGCATGTGGTCTTGCATGGAAGCAGATATTGGCTCAATAGTAGTCTAAGAGGAAGGAAGCACTTTTTCACGGAATCTTTACAGCTTGAGTGGATTTTGTTAGCTGTTCTTCAGTTCCACGCAAACAAATATTTTTTGACCAGCAGAAATCCCAATCAAAAATATTCCTCTCTTTCCACTGCGTGTTATAAAAGCAAGTCTGATCTCCCAACACGGTGCTTTCTACTCCAAGCATCTTTATTTGGGGAAGGGAGATCAATACAAATTGATTCATGTAACAAAGCTCTGTCTTTCAAGGCTGACATCCTTCTCTTCAGCTGCCTTTTCTGTCAGGTAGCTGAAGGCAACACTCAGTAGAAACAGTTCTGTTGCCATTCAGATAAATAGTGGCTTGTAAAAGTCATGCACGTCTGCAAATCTAAAAGCTCAATCTAGGACAGAGAGGGGTGGGGGGAATTTATCACGTCATGGTGGCCCAGGCAAACACTCTGTGAGGTTATTCAGTGTCAGGAGCTGTGTTACGGTCTGCATCATCCTTTCTGCTTTATTGTAAAATGGCAGCCTCCTTTACTTTGACATAGATTATGGCTCTGTGTGTGTGCAGGCTCACCTGTACCTGTGTGCATGCATGCATGTGCAAACGCTCCAGACAAGTGGTTCCCACTTCCTTCAGCTCTACACATCCAAAGCTGCTCCAGCTTCTGACTGAGGAGTTCACGCATGCTAGCTCTCCACCCACATGTCGTTGTACTTTGTATTTTCACCCAGGTTATCCTGAGCACCGTACCCCCTGCCTTCATCATTACGTGTATACATGTAGAAGTTTGCAACGATCTGTGAACGAGGACATGCAAGAGCACTATCCACCTAAGGCCCCTCTTTGTTTCGTAATAACAAAATTGAGCCCCCATCTGTACAGCCAGATTGCCACTGAATACCAGTTGCTGGGAACAAACAGGTGAACAGGCCTGGCCTGAGAACTTGCCAGGGCATCTAGATGCCAGACTAACAGGATCTTTGGTCTGACCCAGCAGGATCTTGCGCTCTTGTGCAACAACCAATCCTGTACATCAGGAA